CAGTGTTAGTTCCAACAATGCTATTTTAATTAGTCATCAAAAGGTAATTATAAGACCTTGTCATAAGTGTAACTGAATTCTTACCCCAGGACTGTTTCAAACGCTAAAAGCTTATTCAAATTTAAGAAAATTTTAATAACCAAAGTGAGCTCTCAAAACATTATTTGGCCAGCCTGTTAACACATACATATAAAGCTGTCTGCCTACTTGCTTCATAACTAACACTGCAGTATGTAGACCTGACCCCACCCCATCCCACCTCCCGAGACTCAAATAGATGCAATTCTATTTTTTTTACCAAGTCAGCCTATTATTCCAGCTTTAGGTACTATTAAAAGTAATGAAGTCAAATGCTGTATACCACTGATTGCGATTCATAACCATCCAGATGCAAGAATGTAAACATCTTTTCATTTAAGTAGTTTGCTAGTTTAAATATTATTAGAGTTTGTTAATATAATCCCGTTACTGAAATCCATAAGGAAATGTACATCGACTTAAAAAGGTAATGATACTGTCAAAGTTTAGAAGTAGAATTCACTGTTAATCACCAAGGTTTCCTCCTTTTCCTCCTCCTCCTCCTATGGTACGTTATTTAAATGAAGGCTTCACACTAACCGTAAGTCACTCTTTTGTCCTGAATAATTAAAAGTTTGCTTTTTTCTGTTTCCTGGCCGTAAGGTAATAGAGAGCATGGCATTAAAAATTAGACACTGGACTAGTCTCCACTGTGTATTCCATGACCAACAAACCATGGCCCTTTCACGTATGCTTAGACTGCAGCTCAGCTAGCCTGGCGGCCGGCCTGACACGGCCTGGGAGAGCAGAGCAGGAGGCAGCGCAGCCAGCGTGTTGGATCACATCCCCTCCGCTCCTTAGTGTGCTGATTTGGTTTAATTTTTTCCAAAGTTTAGAGCTGCAAAGTGAAAACTCCAGATGACTTGTGGAATTGTTTGCCTAGCTGTAGTTACTTGTCGTTTGGTGTGTCCCTCTGCCTCACTGGCTTGTGGCTCTCAGGTGGACCAAAGGGCGTTTTGTTCTATTGAAAGCCCCGCGAGCAAGAGGAAAGAATCGCAGGTATTTCCAGCTCCACTTCCCAGCCTGTACCAACAACCATATTCCAAAAAGTACAAAACAGTCACTACGGAGCGCTGAGCAACCGCGGGCTGAGAGGTACTTGTGTAGCCGGCAGGGCATGGTGTGAATTCCTTCCTCTTGAAGCAGCAGTTCATAGACCTAGTGATTTTCAGTAGTACAGAGTTAAGCAAAATTGTCAGATATTTAAGAAGTTAGATGGACAAACAGCATTTATTACCTTTTGCTTTTAATATACTTGGTTACATATTTACATTTGAAATAAAGTGAAATGAGACCTCATAATACTGAGAGGAAAAAAATCAGCCCTCAGATTCGAATAGGACCAGTTTAAACAGTACTTTTGATTCTTTAGTGTGCTGTGTGCTCATGCAAAGTTAAGGTCTATAAGGCAGAACAGCTGATAAATTGTAATGAAGGGTAAAAACAGGCGTGGTCCTTTCTGAAAACTAAGCAGGGCTCCACCTTGGAATTATCTGCTATTTTTAGAATTTGTAGTCATTATCCATATATCCCAGCCAGATATATAATCATTCTGTGAGCATGTGCGGAAGGGTCTACCTGTTGTGTTCATTACACTGTTCAAAACACTAACGTGTGTGTGTGTGTAGAGTTGGAATGTATTGTTCCCACATGCCTCTGCCATTCATCATCCACATTTACCTGTAAAAATACACAGCTGCTTCCTCTCCACACGTTAGGCTTCTCTTTGAAAACAGTAGTGGTTTCTGTAGAAGTTTCAGGGAGGAACTACGGTTACACAAAGAACAGATACAATAATTGGTTTTGTTGTGGTCATTTTTTTTCTAAAACCCCTAATTTGTCTGGTTCGAAAGGAGAACAGTACCCTATGTGACTTTTAAAAATTAATTTCTCCCTACTTGGAGGTATGTCGTTCGAATTATGTTACGTATAGGTTGATTATTTTTTAAAAGTTTGAAATTGTCAGTGTTAGGGCGCACTGAGAGCCAGTTTAGAAGTGTTTTAATTGCTATTGTTACTTTACATGTGGATTATGGACAAATCGAAGTGTGCTGTGATACACACACACACACACACACACACACGCATATACACAATCACTTTCAAATTATAACATTTGTCAAGTTTTAGAGACTCAGACTTTCCCCTTTGTGTGCATACAGTTGGGGTTTTATTTTTGAGAATAGAGTTGGTCTGCTGTGCTGACTTCATCTCTGTCATTCCAGAGGCTTAGTTATATCTATTTTTTCCTCCAAAGATAAAAAATGCAACGAAAATCCAGTTTACAGGTTCATACATTGATGTTTCTAGACATGGTCAAGTTCTGAAAGCATTTGTTTGGTCTGCATTTTTTATGCCTTTCATGTAGGGAGAGTAATATATTTTTATACAACACTGTATTTCTACTTTTACTTCAAGACTATTTTCAGTGACTTTTTCGAGGGCATGTATTAACAGAAGATCATTTGGAATGGCTTTCATTACCAACTCAGAAGAGTGATACGTGTCATTATAGAAAACAAGAATGTGTTTATACTGTACACTGAAACCTAATGTCTCTTTTCTAAAACTTTGTGATTTTTTTCATGAAATAGATTAAATATTTTCTCTTTAAAACCATGTTTCTGTCTTTAATGTTTTCTGTTTTAAGTATATCATGAAATCTTACTGCTTAGAAACCTGTAAGTCATGATTTATTATTTATTGAGGTAATGAACATGATTTAAAAAAAACTGCATGGTTTCATTTTGAATTATTTGCTTGCAATCATAATTACAACAGATTCTTAAAATACGTTCAGAAAAAATGATCTATTCAGTAAAAATGGTACTGGGAACATTTGAAAAAAGAGATCTCTACTTGACACTATACACAGAACTTGAAAGGAATTAAGGACAACATAAAAATAAAAAATACAGCAATGCCAGAAGAAATAAGGGAGAATATCTAGTGTTGAGGATGTGGATGGCATTCCTGAGAATGACCTAATACCCAAAAGCAGGAATGGAAAAGATTGTTAGGTATTACTACATGAAAACATCAAGCAGCTGCATAACAAATGAGAGAAAAGTTAAAGGAAAATGACAAATTGAAAATACTGGCAAAACATCAAATAGACATAGAATTAGGCCGTATTAAGTTATGAGGAGCTCCTATACACTAGTAAGAGACAGATATCCCAGCTGGAAGACAGGCAACGAATACAAGCCTACAATTCACAGAAGAGATGACAGTAATGAAAAGATAGTCAATCCCATTAAACCAAGAAATGCAAATCCATTCACTCTGCTATTAACTGAGCAGGTCTTTTATGCTCTATTCTTGGTCCAGTGATGAGCAAATTAGACAAGTTCCCTGCTCTAGAGCGTGCATTGTCACTGGGCGGAGAGAGAAGAATGACTTGGTAGACAAAAGGGTAATTGTAGTAACAAGGTAAATAGGACAGTCGAGGTCTCACAAAGGAATCTGAACGATGAGAAGAAACCAGTCACACACTCATCCACAGGAAGTGCAGCGGCCATTGAGGCCACTGTTTTCTAAAGTGGTTCTACCAATGTACGCTCGTGGCAGAGTATGTAGGAGCTGGAGCCACATTCTCTCCAACACTGGGTTTGCAGACTTGGATATTTGCCATTCAAATGTCAGATGGCATCTCTTTGTGGCGTGGATTTCCATCATCATGACCACTGGTGACATGAA